ACTGTCACTGATGGGCTTGGCCTTGGCCAGCAGCAGGTCCATCTTGGAGCCGGCTGGCACTGGCTCTGCTGGACATGGGGGAAGCTTCTAGCAGCTTCTCACAGAAGCCACCCGTGTAGCCTTCCCGCTACCAAAACCTTGCCACACAAACCCAATACACCATCAAAGCCATGCAAGGCTCAATGTTCACCATGCGGGAACTTCGTGCATTTCCAGCTCCTGTTTTGAAGAACACATTCTAGCACAGTACAACACCTACAGCCTCCGGACGCTGCCATGAAGGTCAAAGCTCTATATTTATCTACAAAGATGCTGTTCGGTATAGTGCCACACTGTATATTTTCTATCCTGTCTCTTCCAGGTGTGTGAATTTTGATACAGTAGAATAGGTTAAAATAAGGAGGTATGGCAGGAAAGGAGAAGCAAAAGTCAAGCAGTGTATTTTCCTCACCACATTAAAGAAGAAATAGGATCCTTACTCAGGTTGCTAGCCTGAGTAAGCAGCATTCCCTGTCCCTGCATCTGGTGTAGCAAGTGGTCTTTCCCTCTCTTTTTCATTTTCAGAGGTATCACTATGGACACTTTATTTGAGGATTACAGGTCATACAACTGCAAGCAGTGTTATGCTGTGCAGCCCTTCTTTCCCATAAATTAAATGCAACGAAACGAGTCCACGCTTTCCAGTTTGGAGAAGATATCAAATTATTTAGGGAGACAGCTGAAGAGCAGGTTGGTGCAGCTGTGTTTGGAAGGCGGTGTGTTTGTACAGTATTTGTTACTCCATCCATCCTGACAAGGACATCGCAGAACTAAAGGAGGTTCAGCAAAGGAGAATGAAAACAGTCACAGCCAAGGGAAATCTGTTATATACAGAAAATTTTGGTGATCGCTTACTTCAGGAAACAGGTAAGGCGGTCACAATAAACCAGTAATAATTCTTTTGTCGTAGCAGAAAGTTCCTCCGAAATTGGAAGACGCCAAGTAAAAAGCTAGGAAGTATTTTATTTGTCCGTGACAGGGAATTAACACGCTTGGCAGTTAAACCGCAGAACTCTCCCACAGGCCGGCCTGAACCACTCCGCAGCTGCCGCCGCCGTCGCCTCACGGTTCC